CTGAGCCCGTCCCAGTGTCCGTCCCAGTGTCTGCTGAGCCTGTCCCAGTGTCCGTCCCAGTGTCCGCTGAGCCTGTCCCAGTGTCCGCTGGGTCCGTCCCAGTGTCCGTCCCAGTGTCCGTCCCAGTGTCCGTCCCAGTGTCTGTCCCAGTGTCCGCTGAGCCCGTCCCAGTGTCCGCTGAGCCTGTCCCAGTGTCCGCTGAGCCTGTTCCAGTGTCCGTCCCAGTGTCCGCTGAGCCCGTCCCAGTGTCCGTCCCAGTGTCCGCTGAGCCTGTCCCAGAGTCCATCCCAGTGTCCGTCCCAGTGTCCGTCCCAGTGTCCGTCCCAGTGTCCGCTGAGCCTGTCCCAGTGTCCATCCCAGTGTCCGCTGAGCCTGTCCCAGTGTCCGTCCCAGTGTCCGTCCCAGTGTCTGTCCCAGTGTCCGCTGAGCCCGTCCCAGTGTCCGCTGAGCCTGTCCCAGTGTCCATCCCAGTGTCCGCTGAGCCTGTCCCAGTGTCCATCCCAGTGTCCGCTGGGTCCGTCCCAGTGTCCGCTGAGCCTGTCCCAGAGTCCATCCCAGTGTCTGTCCCAGTGTCTGTCCCAGTGTCCGTCCCAGTGTCCGTCCCAGTGTCCGCTGAGCCTGTTCACTCTTTCATTCTGTGTGAAATAATCAGCAGATGAATTATTATGAATCATTAGTTAATTAATCAGTAACACAGTAGTTATATCAGAGAATTAATCAATATGACCTATCTGATCCTTAATCAATAACTGTGTGTGTGTGTGTGTGTGTGTGTGTGTGTGTGTGTGTGTGTGTGTGTGTGTGTTCAGTGCACGCTGCGGTGCAGAGTGTTAATGCGTCACTGCGTCTCAACGACCCCCGACACACTGTCAGCTGTCTGATGACCTCTAACCTCCAGCTGCCTGAAGTGTTTCCATTTGCTGCGACTCTGTATCACAGAGAGCTGCAGCTGCTGCAGAGGCAAACGCCGCAGGTACACCTGGGCATACACCTGAGCATACACCTGGGCATACACCTGGGCATACACCTGAGCATACACCTGGGCATACACCTGGGCATACACCTGGGCATACACCTGGGCATACACCTGGGCATACACCTGGGCATACACCTGGGCATACACCTGGGCATACACCTGGGCATACACCTGGGCATACACCTGAGCATACACCTGGGCATACACCTGAGTCCTCCCTCTGCTGGTAGTGTGACTGTTTCCTGTCTGTCTCCACCAGGGAGAGCTGCAGCAGGAGGAGCTGTTTGTTGCCGTGGAGATGCTGTCAGCTGTCGCTCTCATCAATCAGGCGATAGAGGCGGGACGTCGGCAACAGTTCAGCTCCTCATTGGTCAGTCCGTCTGCAGGGCTCTCTGATGTCGACCACACCTTGCTGGACAGGTAAGACACTTTATGCCTGTCTGTCAGCCTACCTGTCGCACTGATGTGGTCTGAGTTGGTACTGATGTTTGTGTATCTGCTAATGTGAGTGTTTACAGATCCATCCAAACCCTGCTCCCAGAACCAACCGGGGCCGGTCCGGTCATGGTGATGATCTTTATAATAATGATGTCATCGTGTCCTCAGGTACTTTCAGTGTCTGGTTGGTGTGAAGCAGCAGGTGGGAAAAGATCTGCTGACCTGGAATCAGCTGCAGGAAGGAATCAACTCTGTGAACAACTCCGTGCAGGACGAACACCAACGTATGACACGCACACACACACACGCACACACACACACACACACACACACACACACTGTGAGGGTCTTTGTGCTCAGCTAGGCTAACAGTTTGTCTTGTATTAGAAACACTGACTGTATGTAAAATTGGACGACATCATCCTCTGGTGGCTGGTTGCAGTGTAGCTGATAAACTCCGCCCCCCAGGGATCCACTCATTAGGATTCAATTCTGTGACCTCACTGTGTGACTAGAGGTGGGCGATATATAATATCGTCATTCCATTATCGAGTATTGAATTACTTCGCCAAAAACATTGAAACGCCCGTGGAAACTCCTCACATCCATTAATACACGGTGCAGCAGCGCTCTACAGCATGGCAGGATTCAGTCACATGACTAGTGGGCCTACGTGATCACATGAGGTGATCACGTGACCTCTCGCTAGCATCCTCCTTGTAACAGTTTAGCAGCGCGTTGTGATGATAGAGAGAAAATGCAAACACCTCCAGTCCCTGAAGCTACCGGTACTTCAGATGATTCAGTGCCGAGGCGTGGGTCGACCTCTCTGGCATGGAAATGGTTTAGTTTCAAAAAGCGCAGCGCTCAGAGCGCTTCCAGTTGAAATCTGTTCAACCTTTGACCCCGCTGGGCGCTCGGACAATGAATCTGTTCAACCTTTGACCCCGCTGGGCGCTCGGACAATGAATCTGTTCAACCTTTGACCCCGCTGGGCGCTCGGACAATGAATCTGTTCAACCTTTGACCCCGCTGGGCGCTCGGACAATGAATCTGTTCAACCTTTGACCCCGCTGGGCGCTCGGACAATGAATCCCAACCTTGACCCCCGAAGTCGTTCAACCTTGACCCCCGCGGACAATAATCGTTCAACCTGACCCCGGGCCGGACAATGAATCGTCACTTTGACCCTGGGCGCGATGAGTTCTGGAGCTCTCAGCGATAAAAAACGCGTTTGGTGGACACAAACCCGAACTCAGACAATTCCAATCACATTTAAAGATATCGACTGATTATCGTTATCACCAAAATCCCAAAAAACATCGAGATATTATTTTTTGCCCATATAGCTCACCCCTATTTGTGACCTCACTGTGTGACCTCTGACCTTCAGAGCTGCTGTGTGTGGGTCAGATTAACGAGGCTGTGATCAGAAGAGACTCTCAGCAGCTGCTGTCTGCTCTGCTGCTGCCCTCCTGTGGACTGGAAGAGGTCTTACCTGCCAACACCTGCAGATACCTGACCCTGCTGACCAGAGCCAGGCAGCACAAAGCTCAGGTAACCACACACACACACACACACACACACACACACACACACACACACACACACAAAACACACACACACACACACACACACACACGTACACACACACACACACACACACACACACACACACACACACACACACAGGTAAACACACACACAGGTAAACACACACACACACACACACACAGGTAAAAACACACACACACACACACACACAGGTAAACACACACAGGTAAACACACACAGGTAAACACACACACACACACACAGGTAAACACACACACACACACACACACAGGTAAACACACACAGGTAAACACACACACACACACACACACACACAGGTAAACACACACACACACACACACACACACACACACACACAACGGTAAACACACACACACACACACACACACACACACACACAGGTAAACACACACACACACACACACACACACACACACACAGGTAAACACACACACACACACACAGGTAAACACACACAGTGGGGTATTGCACAAAAGTAGGATAAAGAAATCCATGATAATTGAGCATCGGTTGCACGTTTGCGGAGCCAGGATTAAAAGGTGCGGCTATGTTAAGCCAGGTGTAGATAGTCGGGATAAGTGCGTGTTCACGGCATACTGAACTAGACCTCGCGATCGCTCACAGAATCACCGATGGGAACATGGATAAGAGTCGCTGAACAACAGCTCCTGATGGAGTTCTATGAAGAGGTGGAAGATAGAAGAAAAAAAGGCAATACCAATGCCATAATGAAAGAAAGAGAGAAAGCCTGGCAGACAATAGCGGACCGGCTTAATGCTTAAGTAGTCCAAAACTGTACAATGAATAAACAGTGCTCCACTGGAACTGTCATCATTAGGCTCCAATTAAAGGACTAAAGGAGTTACTTTAAGTCCACTAATCAACTGTTGTACACTTTGCTTTAAATGTGGCAAGTAGAGGTTCATGTTACTTAAATGTAGAGTATGATTAAGTGCAAACAATTATCCACAATGTGTCATTTAATCTATTTTTATCTATTTTATCTTTCTATCTTTCATAAAGAACAAACTTGTCTGGCCATAAAAGGACCTGGAAGCAAGTTACATTAAAAATGTTAAAAAAGTTAAATACAAGAACATTCTGCAGGCTGGTCAGTGACTCTAAAGTAGATAACAGTGAATAAATGAGGTGAATAGATTAGGTGTCTGCTGACATGTTGAATGTCTGTATGATTGTAGCAGTTTAAAAAAAGCCCATAGAACTGGCACAGGGGGCGGCCCACCAAGCCAGGATATGTGCTGCCAATGGTTCCTTTATTGAGGTTCTCTGCATCCCCAACAGAATAAAGGAAGCTCCCACTTGCAAAACATCTCACTGTAACACAGACCATCTGTGGTACAGTGCGAGCATGGCTTCCTGCTGTCTGGTGCTGTATTTTTGGACCCAGCAGCCTACATAAATATCTTAGTCCATCACCTGAGAATCTGTATCTCTCAATGAGATAATCCTCTCCAACGGCCAATGGGTCTGACCTGTCCCAGAAGACTCTTTCATGACTAAATGCTCGTCTGAGGATTAGGGCTTCCTCATCCAGCACATCCTCCAAGAAAGGGCAAGCCATTATGAAGAGGGAACAGGAGAGGGAGAGAGAGAGAGAGAGAGAGAGAGAGAATAATAATAAACACTATGTACTAGCTGGATAGTCGAGCGGTTAGAGACGCAGACTACCACACTGGAGCAGACAACCTTGAGGGACAAGCCCCTACATGGCACGTACCACCACCAAACTGAAGAAGTGGCTGATATGGAGAAGACCTACCAATGGCTGGAAAAGGCTGGACTCAGAGACAGCACAGAGGCACTGATCATGGCAGCACAAGAACAGGCCCTAGGTACAAGAGCCATAGAGGCCAAGATCTACAAGAGTAGATCTGACCCAAGGTGCAGACTATGCAAAGATGCCCCTGAGACAGTCCAGCACATAGTAGCAGGGTGTAAGAGGCTAGCCGGGTCAGCGTACATGGAGAGACACAACCAAGTGGCTGGAATAGTGTACAGGAACATCTGTACCCAGTATGGAATAGAAGAACCCAAAGTAGGGGTAGTAGGAGCACTCGGGGCAGTGACCCCCAAACTGGGGGAGTGGCTCCAACAGATCCCAGGAACAACATCAGAAGCCTCAGTCCAGAAGAGCTCAGTCCTAGGAACAGCTAGATACTGCGCAGAACCCTCAAACTCCCAGGCCTCTGGTAGAGGACCCGAGCTCGAGGATGACACACAGATACCACCCCAAGAGGGAGAGAGGGAAGGTTTTATGTTTTATATATATATATATATATATATATATATATATATATATATATATATACTATATTGCCCTTGTCACAGATTTCATTGAAAACACCTTTGCAACTTCATCAGCTGTGTTTTGTAATCTCAATTACTGCAATAAAACATATTTATGCAGTTTGACAAGCAGTCTTCATTAGCATAGCAATATAACACTTGTCCTGAGTAATAATACTACCACTTGAATCAATATAAAAAGACTGTTGCAATTACAAACAGCCAACAGATTTAAATAAATGAGAAATGACAATATGTAATATTTTAATGCAGGATAATTAAAATGATGCAACATACTTAGAAAGACCATGGACATGCTGTAAAACACATTAATTCCTCACAGGATTGACGGTGGAAATACAGGTGAATCACTAGGATTAATGTTAGTCTGGCTGTTAGCCTGGTCTGGAGCAGGCTAACTGCAGAGAATAAATCACCATAGTAACTTGGCCGGGATAAGTTTAACCTGCTTTCATGCAACCACACACAGGTAAATACACACAGGTAAACACACACAGGTATACATACACAGGTAAACACACACACACAGGTAAACACACACAGGTAACCACACACACAGGTAAACACACACAGGTAACCACACACACACACACACAGGTAAATACACACAGGTAAACACACACAGGTATACATACACAGGTAAACACACACAGGTAAACACACACAGGTATACATACACAGGTAAACACACACAGGTATACATACACAGGTAAACACACACAGGTAAACACACACAGGTAACCACACACACACACACAGGTAAATACACACAGGTAAACACACACAGGTATACATACACAGGTAAACACACACAGGTAAACACACACAGGTAAACACACACAGGTATACATACACAGGTAAACACACACAGGTATACATACACAGGTAAACACACACACACACAGGTAAACACACACAGGTAAACACACACAGGTAACCACACAGGTAAACACACACACACACACAGAGGTAACCACACACACACAGGTAAATACACACAGGTAAACACACACAGGTATACATACACAGGTAAACACACACACACACACACAGGTAAACACACACAGGTATACATACACAGGTAAACACACACACACACACAGGTAAACACACACAGGTAAACACACACAGGTAACCACACACACAGGTAAACAATAACAGCTCACAACTCTGAATCTTCATCATTCGTTGCAGTATTTAGTTTTTCTCAACCTGATGTCACATGTCCTCCTCCTGTCCAATCAGGTAAGCAGAGACCCAGGAGCTGAGCTGTGGTTGGCTGATATCCAGGAAGCTGTAAGCAGAGCCAATCAGGAGAGTCAGAGAGCTCTGAAGTGTAAGACTTTATTTTATTGATTATAGAAGAGGTCAAACTGTTCAGTGTCATCACAACAAAATAATCAATCATAAAGTCATAATTATGTGGAGCTATAATCAATGTGTAATATTGATTATGTTACTTCAGTGTCGGTAGCAGCAGTGATGATGATATTGATGATGATATTGATGATGATGATGATATTGATGTTATTGATGATGATATTGATGATGATATTGATGTTATTGATGATGATATTGATGATGATATTGATGTTATTGATGATGATATTGATGATGTTCTTGATGATGATATTGATGATGATATTGATGATGTTATTGATGATGTTATTGATGATGATATTGATGATGTTATTGATGATGTTCTTTCAGTGTGTCTGTCGGTAGCAGCAGTGAATCAGGCTGTAAAGGAGAAGCGAGTGAATCAGACTATTCGTGTCCTGAGTCTACCTGAAGTCCAGCTGCAGGGGCTGGTTTCTACCTGTGCTGCAGAGTATCAGAGAGAGCTCCACAGTCTGCTCACAGACAGGATGCAGCAAGGTACCTGAGACAGACACTAGTCTGTCCTCCTGTCTCACTCTTTAGGAACTTCAATCTGCCAGCTCCTAAACTTCTTCTCTTTACTTCCTCAAACATAGAGCAGGATGTGCAGCCTTATATGGTATTATCAGGCTGTTAATTGTAAACCTGAAGTTAGGATTTGTTGAATCTGATGTCTGTTTGTGAACTCACTGAACTAATAATCTCAATATCAGCAGACTCCATTCAAAAATCACTCACTTTATATTATATATATTATATATGAATACAGTTAGATCAGGATCAGACTGACCTGAGAGTTTCAACATGGCTGCTGTGTGGTTTAAGGGTGTGCAACGTCGGCTTTGTTTGGACTATAAAGATACCGTTAATAAATTATTTAATAAATTATTTCTGAATTCCGCTAGCATTACCAACAACAGCCACCATAGCCACCTGCGCACCAGAGCCCAAACATCCTGGAAAGTGAAAGTAAACTGATGTCTCGGTCCGGAGGGCTGGCGTTCGCGGTGATTTTTGATTTTTGATCACAAACCCTCCGTGAGTTTTTCGCCGGTGACAGACGCTGTTTTTCGGGCAGAAATGTGACGAAGAGTCGGTAGGACAGACAGGAGGACAGACAGGAGGACAGACGCTTCTCCACGTACAGCTGTGGTATTTTTTTTCCTCATATAAGTTTCCAAAGACAGTTACAGTTACTACGTTACTGTTGTTTGGTCCTGTAACGTTGCTTTGTGGGACATTTCTCTTTATTAAGTTGAGTGAGAGACCTGTGCAGTTATCAGACTGTCTGACCGACACGCCCTCGCTCCGCGCCGTCAGCTTATCCGTTCACACTGTAGGCGGTTCAAAAATAATGCGTCCCTGATACTAATACGAGGATCAGGGACGGAGCAACATTTCCCCCCTCGTCGAATTGGCACTGGATCCCCGAATCTCTCTCTCTCTCTCTCTCTCTCTCTCGGATGTATGCTGGCCTATATTATAATATGTCCTAAATGTCCCTGACGTCCCACCTTCAAACACAACCTCATTTGGCCATCCATGAAAAAGCTACTTAACCTCCCACTTTTTTTTATATACGATCAATGTATAATTATTTTCTCGTTTTAAACGCGTTGAATTAAATTAATATTGAGGCTTTTTGCAGGAGACAACAGGAGTCCGTGGGTTCGAGTCCGGCTGGACGACAGCTCGTTCTACTACTTCCAGCTGAACAGACTGGAGGGCAGCTGGGACAAACCCAACGGCTTCATACACAACAGTGTGTTCCTCGACAGACAGCTAATACAGGTGAGACACCTGAATGAGAGAGACACCTGAGGGACAGGGAGAGACACCTGAATGAGAGAGACACCTGAGGGACAGGGAGAGACACCTGAATGAGAGAGACACCTGAGGGACAGGGAGAGACACCTGAATGAGAGAGACACCTGAGAGACACCTGAATGAGAGAGACACCTGAATGAGAGAGACACCTGAGGGACAGGGAGAGACACCTGAAGGAGAGGAAGAGAGAGAGAGACACCTGAGGGACAGAGAGAGAGGGTCTGAGGTCTGTTCTCCAGTTTCAGTGAGCAGATTGAAACATTTGTCTCATTGCCTGTGATTGGTCATCAGCAGTGATGTCATTGTATGATGTCACATGTGCAGGAAGTAGTCAGCAGTGTTACGGGCTCGTACACTCGCAGCGTGCTGTGGCAGAACAGTGAAGCCCTCGTCGTCCGTCTGCAGGCTGTCTGTCGAGGATTCCTGCTCAGACAGAAGCTGGAGGCTCGACGGTGTTACCTGATCATTCACACACCTGCTGTGGTCATCATCCAGGTGAGAACCTTCAAACAGGAACTGGTAGCTCACCTAGTAGAGCTGGTGCATCATGTACGAAGGCTGCTTGGCTGTGGGTTTGAATCCGACCTGTGGCCCTTTACTGCACCGTCCTTTGTCTCCTGTCCACTTCTCTTATATATTATATATATATATATATATATATAATATTATATTTAGGATATAAAAACAGAATATATATAAGTCTTTCTGTTGACTTTGTATAAAATATGTGACTGTGAGACTGTCTGTCTGTCTGTCTGTCTGTCTGTCTCAGGCTCACTGGAGGAGATTTGTCCAGCAGAGGTTGTACAGACGTCGGCTGCAGCTTCTATACATGAACTGGAGAGCTGCTGTGAAGGTATCAACCAACTCTTCATCTTCTGAAACAGCTGAATATTATTATTGATTATCAGTTATTGATCAGAGTCAATGATGAGTGTGTTCTAATAAGAAAGTTAATCTCAGTGTTAATAATGTTTGTGGAACAGATCCAGTCGTTGGTGAAGATGTGGTTGGCGAGGAGAAAATATCGAGCTCGACTGAGTTTCTTCAGACGTCACGTGAGTCTTTATGCTAAGCTAAGCTAACTATCTGACTGTCTGTACTCAGCCAATCAGAAAGCAGTATCCTACAGTAACTGTGTGTGTCCACAGGTGGGCGCTGTCATAAAGATCCAGGCCTTCTTCAGAGCCAACCGGGCCCGAGAGCAGTACAGGATGCTGGGTAATTTACTAGGTTACTGATCACTTTAACAGGAGTTCATGGTTTACTATGGTTTACCTGTCTGTCTGTCTGTCGCTCTCTCTCTCTCTCTCTCTCTCTCTCTCTCTCTCTCTCTCTCTCTCTCTCTCACCCCAACTGGTCGAGACAGACGACCACCCACCTAGAGCCGGAGGATCTGTCCTAGGTTTCTGCCTTTTAACAGGCAGTTTTTCCTTGCCCTTGTCTCCAAGGTCTTGCTCATGGTGGTACTGTTGGGTCTCTGTAAATAATGTTTTAAAGAGTTCGGTCTAGACCTGCTCTATTTGAAAAGTGTCCTGAGATAACTTCTGTTATGAATTGGCGCTATACAAATAAAATTGAATTGAATTGAATTGAACTATAAGGCATCATTAAGCCCCTCCCCTCACCTGTCTCAGTGCACTCAGCCACGCCCCCTCTGTCGGTGGTCAGGAAGTTCGTTCACCTGCTCGACCTCGGCGACAGTGACATCAAGGAGGAGGCGGAGCTTCTGCGTCAGAGAGAGGAAGTGGTGAGAAGCATCCGCTTCAACAGACAGCTGGAGGCGGACCTGGACCTGATGGACCTGAAGATCGGCCTGCTGGTCCGAAACAGAGCCACTCTACAGGTATTGATTACTCTCTACAGGTAGGGACAAAGATTCAGTCCAGAAACCTGAAGTTGTTACCTGCCCGGGTTTGTGTCTCGTTAGTGTTAACGACCCTCATTCTCTCTGTCTGTGGACAGGAAGTGGTGTCTCATTGTAAGAAACTGACAAAGAAGAACAAGGAGCAGCTGTCAGACATGATGGATGTTGAGAGGAGTAAAGGACTAAAGGCTCTGAGCAGAGAAAGGAGAGAGAGACTGGAGGCCTACCAACACCTGTTCTACCTGCTGCAGGTGAGACAACCATTTTTATTTGAATCCATCAAACATACGACACACTGATTACATAAAGGTTGTACCTGCTGTTTACTTTACGTTACTCATGCTGAATATCCCGACTCTCTTTATCTGTATCTGACTCCCTCTATCTGTATCTGACTCTCTTTATCTGTATCTGACTTCCTCTATCGCTATCTAACTCCCTCTATCTCTATCTGACTCCCTTTATCTGTATCTGACTCCCTCTATCTCTATCGACTCCCTTTATCTGTATCTGACTCCCTCTATCGCTATCTAACTCCCTCTATCTCTATCTGACTCCCTTTATCTGTATCTGACTCCCTCTATCTGTATCTCACTCCCTCTATCTGTATCTGACTCCCTCTATCTGTATCTGACTCCCTCTATCTGTATCTGACTCCCTCTATCTGTATCTGACTCCCTCTATCTGTATCTGACTCTCTTTATCTGTATCTAACTCCCTCTATCTCTATCTAACTCCCTCTATCTGTATCTGACTCTCTTTATCTGTATCTAACTCCCTCTATCTCTATCTAACTCCCTCTATCTGTATCTGACTCCCTCTATCTCTATCTGACTCCCTCTATCGCTATCTGACTCCCTCTATCTCTATCTGACTCTCTTTATCTGTATCTAACTCCCTCTATCTCTATCTAACTCCCTCTATCTGTATCTGACTCCCTCTATCTCTATCTGACTCCCTCTATCGCTATCTGACTCCCTCTATCCGACTCCCTCTGTTTGCATATTTTACCAACAGTTAGGTTTCAAATCATTTTTTGACTCACCTTTTGACCTGGGACATGACTCACTGTGAACATGGAGTTGATCCAAGATTCCAAGGTAGCAGTCCAACCTGATGATTCACACTGATTGTGATATACAGTATTTATGTCATCAGCAGCTGATAACTCTCCGGCACCAGTCAATGACGGGGAGACAAACTGTCTGTCCAACCAACCACGTACCGAACTGTGAGCACATTGTATATTAAAGCCTGTTACTGTTTCAGACTCAGCCTCTGTACCTGGCTCAGCTGATCTTCCTGATGCCTCAGAGTCGCTCCACCTCCTTCATGGAGATGTTGGTGTTCAGTCTGTTTAACTACGGCTCGGACCGCAGGGAGGCCTTCCTGCTGCTGCAGCTGTTCACTGAGGCGCTACGATATGAGATCAGGTGATACACACAGACACTGACTGTCGCCGTTAAAACTTATTCAAACTTTACCAATATTTGATTATTTTATAGACCAAACCATGATAACTCACAGCCCTACTCAACCCTGTCCTAGAGCTACCTGAGAGGATGCTCCAGAACAGGAAGTACACTGAATAGATCTTTTCATTTAAGTATTTTTAAACAACAAAAAGAAAGAAATTGCTATCATAAAAAATGTATACAAACGATTAATCAATTAATCTGCCGATCAGTTATATAGTAAATCCTATAGCCAATACATACATAAAGGATATAGGATTTATTTCTGACGAGGTCATAATAAAATAATTAAAATAACAATGATATAAAAGTAGATGTAAATGGCTGTGATGTCATCAGTAACATACCTGTCTCTGTGTGATGATGTCAGACTGAAGGTGGAGCAGCCTCAGGACGTGGTCACAGGTAACCCCACCATCATCAAGATGCTGGTGAACTTTTACCGAAATGCTCGCGGTCAGAACGCCCTGCGTGAGTCTCTGGGTCCAGCTCTGCAAGATGTCCTGCTGGACCGAACTCTGAGCATCAGGACGGACCCGGTGGACGTATACAAGACCTGGATCAACCAGACCGAGACCCAGACTGGACACAAGAGGTAGGTGTGAGCAGACAAAGTGATTCATCTGGAAGACTGAAGGTCTTAGCAACACACAGTCAGCTCTGACCCGTTAGTCTTTCCATACCTGACTCACCTGTTTGTGTCCCTGCAGCTCTCTGCCGTACGAGGTTTCACCTGCAGAGGCTCTGAGTCACCCTGAAGTCCAGAGACGCATCGACATCGCCATCATCAACCTGAAAAACCTGACAGACCGAGTCTTCAAAGCCATCACCTCAAACCTCCACAAACTACCGTAGGTCTCCACCTGTTCACCTCCAACCTCCACAAACTACTGTAGGTCTCTTACCTGTTCACCTCCAACCTCCACAAACTACTGTAGGTCTCTTACCTGTTCACCTCCAACCTCCACAAACTACCGTAGGTCTCCACCTGTTCACCTCCAACCTCCACAAACTACCGTAGGTCTCCACCTGTTCACCTCCAACCTCCACAAACTACTGTAGGTCTCTTACCTGTTCACCTCCAACCTCCACAAACTACCATAGGTCTCCACCTGTTCACCTCCAACCTCCACAAACTACCATAGGTCTCCACCTGTTCACCTCCAACCTCCACAAACTACCATAGGTCTCCACCTGTTCACCTCCAACCTCCACAAACTACTGTAGGTCTCTTACCTGTTCACCTCCAACCTCCACAAACTACCATAGGTCTCCACCTGTTCACCTCTAACCTCCACAAACTACCGTAGGTCTCCACCTGTTCACCTCTAACCTCCACAAACTACCGTAGGTCTCTTACCTGTTCACCTCCAACCTCCACAAACTACTGTAGGTCTCCACCTGTTCACCTCCAACCTCCACAAACTACCATAGGGCTCCACCTGTTCACCTCCAACCTCCACAAACTACCATAGGTCTCCACCTGTTCACCTCCAGACTCCACAAACTACCGTAGGTCTCCACCTGTTCACCTCCAACCTCCACAAACTACCATAGGTCTCCACCTGTTCACCTCCAACCTCCACAAACTACTGTAGGTCTCTTACCTGTTCACCTCCAACCTCCACAAACTACCATAGGTCTCCACCTGTTCACCTCCAACCTCCACAAACTACCATAGGTCTCTTACCTGTTCACCTCCAACCTCCACAAACTACTGTAGGTCTCTTACCTGTTCACCTCCAACCTCCACAAACTACCATAGGTCTCCACCTGTTCACCTCCAACCTCCACAAACTACCATAGGTCTCCACCTGTTCACCTCCAACCTCCACAAACTACCATAGGTCTGCACCTGTTCACCTCCAACCTCCACAAACTACTGTAGGTCTCTTACCTGTTCACCTCCAACCTCCACAAACTACCATAGGTCTCCACCTGTTCACCTCCAACCTCCACAAACTACCATAGGTCTCTTACCTGTTCACCTCCAACCTCCACAAACTACTGTAGGTCTCTTACCTGTTCACCTCCAACCTCCACAAACTACCATAGGTCTCCACCTGTTCACCTCCAACCTCCACAAACTACCATAGGTCTCCACCTGTTCACCTCCAACCTCCACAAACTACCATAGGTCTGCACCTGTTCACCTCCAACCTCCACAAACTACCATAGGTCTCCACCTGTTCATCCATGCTATATTTGTGTGTTTGCTGTAGATATGGATTACGTTACACAGCGAAGGTGCTCAGAGATGCTCTGAAGGCGAAGTTCCCTGAAGCCAGCGAGGACGAACTTTACAAGGTAACCTCCAGGATGTGGACAGAGCCTCAACCAGTCAGCTCCCAGTACCCTCCAGGATGTAGACAGCCTCAACCAGTCAGTTTTCAGTACCCTCCAGGATGTAGACAGAGCCTCAACCAGTCAGTTTTCAGTACCCTCCAGGATGTAGACAGAGCCTCAACCAGTGTCGTGTATACAGCAGAAGTGAATCAGTCTAACATACTTTGTTGTGCTGCTGTAAATGAACATATTGAACATGGTTGTTGAGGGTAAACAGGTTCATGTGAACAACTGAAGAGTGAACTGATTAATTATTGTTTCTGATGGATTAAAGCAAATGTCTGTGACCTCCTTCAGATTGTCGGTAACCTCGTCTACTATCGCTACATGAACCCGGCCATCGTGGCTCCAGATGGATTTGACGTGGTGGACCGGTCTGCCGGCTCCAGCCTGCAGCCGGAGCAGCGCCACATCCTAGGCTCCATCGCCCGCATGCTGCAGCACGCTGCCGCCAACAAACACTTCCACGGAGACGGATACCACGTCAGAGCTCTGAACCAGTACATCACACAGACTCACAACAAGTTCAGGTCAGAGGCTTCATGTGACCTCTGAGTCCTAAATGTTAAAACGTCTGTAATCACATTACTACAACGTGCACACAGAGATTGTTGTTGTTGTAACATGTTACTTGTTTTTACTCACACTGCTTTCATCAACTCCTCCTGTTCCTCTGCTCTGTGCTCGGAGGAGAGGCAGTTCTGCTAAGTACCGCAAACAAAAAGCCAATTAATGAATGTGAATACAGACGGACACATACGGACTGTCCGGGTCCTTCGGTTTAACATCTCCCCTTTACTGCCCTTCACTCTCTGATCCACCTGCAGGTTTTTATTGACCAGTCTCCGTACTGGACTCTATGTTGTCCTGGTCTGATGAGGTTCTCGCTGTTTGTGCCCGACAGGAAGTTCCTGTTGTGTGTTTGTGACGTTCCTGAACCAGAGGACAGATTCAACATGGACGAATACTCAGAGCTGCTGATTGTCAACAAACCCGTCGTCTACATCTCCGTCAGCGAGCTGCTCAACACGCACCAGGTACAGGAACCTGGACCTGGATCATACAGGGACCCCCATGTCTGCAGCTGTATATTCACTGTGTGTGTGTGTGTGTGTGTGTGTGTGTGTGTGTGTGTGTGTGTGTGTGTGTGTGTGTGTGTGTGTGTGTATGTATGTATGTAGCTGTTGTTGGAGCAGCAGGAGGTTTTGTGTCCGGACCCCTGTGACCCCCTCAGACTGCTGCTGAAGGACCTTGGACCAGTCCCCACCCTGCAGGAGCTCATTGGTATTAAGACACTGCTGCTAACAAACAAACTAGTTTCTACAATGTAACATCTGATATGTATAAGGTGGTAGAAGGCTGATTCTGGATCCAGGACTGTTAGAGACCGGACCCTGTTGTATTGTTAGAGACCGGACCCTGTTGGACTGTTAGAGACCGGACCGTGTTGGACTGTTAGAGACCGGACCGCGTTGGACTGTTAGAGACCGGACCGCGTTGGACTGTTAGAGACCGGACCGCGTTGGACTGTTAGAGACCGGACCCTGTTTGACTGTTAGAGACCGGACCCTGTTGGACTGTTAGAGACCGGACCGCGTTGGACTGTTAGAGACCGGACCCTGTTGGACTGTTAGAGACCGGACCCTGTTGGACTGTTAGAGGCCGGACCCTGTTGGACTGTTAGAGACTGGACTCTCTGAGAGACGTTACCAGTATCTTTAGGAGAGCAGTCTCAGTAGTGTGGTGGATCTAAATCCAGACGGGAACATGTGAACCGGTTTGTGTCAGTGAACCAGGACCCGTCTGCTTTGTGGTGTTCAGGAGAGTCTTCATCAGCAGATCCAGGATCAGAGTCCAGGATGGAGGTCTCTCTGACCCTCACTAACAAGTTTGACATCTTCAACGAGTCCGACGACAAACCCGACGCCAGAGGACTGCTGCTCAGGTAGCTTAGCATGTTAGCCTGTTAGCTTCACCTGCTCAGGTAGCTTAGCATGTTGGATCATTCTGCTCTTTTTTTTTTTTTTCATTTTTTCAGCACGAAGCAGCTGATCATTGATGTCATCAGGACTCAGTCAGGTGACTCTCTGAGTGACATCCTGAGAGCGTCTGCGTCACATGACCAGGTACGCACACGCACACACGCACACACACACACAGGTACAGGTGAACCACAGATGAATGTCTCTCCTCCTGCTCCACAGGAAGTGTGCCATGATTGGCTGATGCAGCGGCGAGTTCGGCAGGATGCTCGTACACCTGAGAAGATGAAGAGGAACCAGTCGCTGGTTGCCAATGGCAACCTGAGCTTAGAGGAGAAGAAGAGGAAGATCCTGAGGAGTCTTCGTCGTCTGGAGGGACTGGGAGTCCTAAAACCTCCTCAGCCTGAAAACCAAATCCTGCAGATGATTGCCAAGGTAACCAATCACACACCTCTAACCTGAAACAGGAAGTGATGTCACTACAGTCTCAAACATTGACAACATCAACACTGACTTAACCGATAATATAGTTATAACATTAATAACATTAATGATAATAATAATAATAGTAATAATGATATTAATAACATTAATAACAATAATGATAATAATAATAGTAATAAGGATATTAATAACATTAATAACAATAATAATAATAGTAATAATGATATTAATAACATTAATAACAATAATGATAATAATAATAGTAATAAGGATATTAATAACATTAATAACATTAATGATAATAATAATAGTAATAAGGATATTAATAACATTAATAACAATAATGATAATAATAATACTAGTAATAAGGATATTAATAACATTAATAACAATAATGATAATAATAATAGTAATAAGGATATTAATAACATTAATAATAATTTGGAATTATCTTTGGAATTTCCCCATTGTGGGACAAATAAAGGATTATCTTATCTTATGTTATATTAATAACATTAATAAAAACATTAATGATAATAATGATATGAATAACATTAATGAAAACATTAATGATAATAATGATATTAATAACATTAATAACAATAATGATAATAATAATAGTAATAAGGATATTAATAACATGAATGATAATAATAATAATAATAGTAATAATGATATTAATAACATTAATGATAATAATAATAATAGTAATAATAGTAATAATGATATTAATAACATTAATAACAATAATGATAATAATAATAGTAATAAGGATATTAATAACATTAATAACAATAATGATAATAATAGTAATAATGATATTAATAACATTAATAACAATAATGATAATAATAATAGTAATAAGGATATTAATAACATTAATAACAATAATGATAATAATAGTAATAATGATATTAATAACATTAATAACAATAATGATAATAATAATAGTAATAAGGATATTAATAACATTAATAACAACATTAATAATAATTTGGAATTATCTTTGGAATTTCCCCATTGTGGGACAAATAAAGGAATATCTTATCTTATGTTATATTAATAACATTAATGAAAACATTAATGATAATAATGATATGAATAACATTAATGATAACATTAATGAGAATAATGATATGAATAACATTAATGATAACATTAATGAGAATAATGACTTCATCCTGCTGAAGCTTCTTAGTAAATAAAATAAAAGTGAGACATGATGGGATGTGATATAGTGATATTAGTATAAATATATATTACTGTAAATATAAGATCAAACTATGTAAACATTTTATAATAATTTATCTATAGATGCACGATATAGATTATTTTCAGCTCATATGTTAACTGATAATTTAACCCCCCCCCAGGACATCCGTCAGCAGCGTCTGCACCGCCAGCGCCGGGGGGCGGAGCTTCAGAAACTCCATCAGACTCTCAGCAGCCTGCAGGCAAAGAGCAACTTCCACAGTGAACAGGTGGACTACTACAGACATTACATCACTTCCTGTCTGGACAACCTGACCACCAGGTACACACACACACACACACACACACACACACACGGTTTACCTTTAAATATATTTTATTATGTAAAATATATTTATCTTATAGATAATGGATAGAATAGATAAATATATAAATATATTTTATAGATAAATATATTTAAAATAGATAAATATATATATTATAATAGATTAGATTTTATAATTGATAAATATATTTTTGTTTATTGGTAACAAACATTTACATTTAAGGGACCCTTTTTAACTATATTTATGAATTATAGTTTATAACTTGTATGATTTAAAGCTCCACCCACCGCCTAACGCTGTCCAATGAGATACTGACAGCTGAAGTCCTGTGATTGGTTCTTTGTGTTTGTCCTGATAACATCTGTGATAAACAAATCAAACTGAACTCTTTGGTTGTTTATGAAGAGTGTGAACTGTTTACTCTCTCGCACACTGAGGTTAATGTTGGGATTGGTTGTGTGTTGCAGTAAATCGACCAATAAGAAGGCAGCAGAGGGCAAAGGGAAGAAGAAGCTTCCTGCTGTGAGCTATAGCGCCACCCGTCTGCAGGAGAAAGGAGTTCTGTTAGAGATTGAAGACCTGCCGACCACACAGTGAGAACATATGTGATAAACTATTGAAGCTAATGGTTTACTGTTGCTCCTCCTGTACAAAGTGAACTGAACCGTTCTGAACTGTTCCAGGTTTAAGAACGTTGTGTTTGACATCGTTCCCGGACCCGAGAAAGGAAGTTTCAACGTCAAAGCGAGATTCCTCGGCGTCGAGATGGAAGAGTTCCTGCTCAAATACCAGGTACAAAGCAGGCTAGATACTGAGCTAAACCAGGATAAATACCGAGCTAAACCAGGATAAATACCAGGATAAATACCGAGCTAAACCAGGATAAATACCAGGATAAATACCGAGCCAAACCAGGATAAATACCAGGATAAATACTGAGCTAAACCAGGCTAAATACTGAGCTAAACCAGGATAAATACCGAGCTAAACCAGGATAAATACCAGGCTAAATACCAGGCTAAATACCAGGATAAATACCGAGCTAAACCAGGCTAAATACTGAGCTAAACCAGGATAAATACCGAGCTAAACCAGGATAAATACCAGGATAAATACCGAGCTAAACCAGGATAAATACGGAGCCAAACCAGGATAAATACCAGGATAAATACGGAGCTAAACCAGGATAAATACTGAGCTAAACCAGGCTAGATACTGAGCTAAACCAGGATAAATACCGAGCTAAACCAGGATAAATACCAGGATAAATACGGAGCTAAACCAGGATAAATACGGAGCTAAACCAGGATAAATACTGAGCTAAACCAGGATAAATACCAGGATAAATACCGAGCTAAACCAGGATAAATACGGAGCTAAACCAGGCTAGATACTGAGCTAAACCAGGATAAATACCGAGCTAAACCAGGATAAATACCAGGATAAATACGGAGCTAAACCAGGCTAGATACTGAGCTAAACCAGGATAAATACCGAGCTAAACCAGGATAAATACGGAGCTAAACCAGGATAAATACCAGGATAAATACGGAGCTAAACCAGGATAAATACTGAGCTAAACCAGGCTAGATACTGAGCTAAACCAGGATAAATACCAGGATAAATACTGAGCTAAACCAGGCTAGATACTGAGCTAAACCAGGATAAATACCAGGATAAATACGGAGCTAAACCAGGATAAATACTGAGCTAAACCAGGCTAGATACTGAGCTAAACCAGGATAAATACCGAGCTAAACCAGGCTAGATACTGAGCTAAACCAGGATAAATACTAAAGGATAATAGAGCTAAACCAGGATAAATACTGAGCTAAACCAGGATAAATACCGAGCTAAACCAGGATACGAGCTAAACAGGATAAATACCGAGCTAAACCAGGATAAATACCAGGATAAATACGGAGCTAAACCAGGATAAATACGGAGCTAAACCAGGATAAATACTGAGCTAAACCAGGCTAGATACCGAGCTAAACCAGGATAAATACCAGGATAAATACGCTAAACCAGCTAGATACTGAGCTAAACCAGGATAAATACCGGAAAGCTAAACCAGGCTAGATACTGAGCTAAACCAGGATAAATACCGAGCTAAACCAGGATAAATACCAGGATAAATACGGAGCTAAACCAGGATAAATACGGAGCTAAACCAGGATAAATACCAGGATAAATACGGAGCTAAACCAGGATAAATACTGAGCTAAACCAGGCTAGATACTGAGCTAAACCAGGATAAATACCAGGATAAATACGGAGCTAAACCAGGCTAGATACTGAGCTAAACCAGGATAAATACGGAGCTAAACCAGGCTAGATACTGAGCTAAACCAGGATAAATACTGAGCTAAACCAGGATAAATACCGAGCTAAACCAGGATAAATACCGAGCTAAACCAGGATAAATACCGAGCTAAACCAGGATAAAAACCGAGCTAAACCAGGATAAAAACCGAGCTAAACCAGGCTAGATACCGAGCTAAACCAGGCTAGATACTGAGCTAAACCAGGATAAATACCGAGCTAAACCAGGATAAATACTGAGCTAAACCAGGCTAGATACCGAGCTAAACCAGGATAAATACCAGGATAAATATGGAGCTAAACCAGGATAAATACTGAGCTAAACCAGGCTAGATACCGAGCTAAACCAGGCTAGATACTGAGCTAAACCAGGATAAATACCGAGCTAAACCAGGCTAGATACTGAGCTAAACCAGGATAAATACTGAGCTAAACCAGGATAAATACCAGGATAAATACCGAGCTAAACCAGGATAAATACTGAGCTAAACCAGGATAAATACCAGGATAAATACCGAGCTAAACCAGGATAAATACTGAGCTAAACCAGGATAAATACCAGGATAAATACGGAGCTAAACCAGGATAAATACCAGGATAAATACGGAGCTAAACCAGGATAAATACCAGGATAAATACCAGGATAAATACGGAGCTAAACCAGGATAAATACCAGGATAAATACGGAGCTAAACCAGGATAAATACCAGGATAAATACAGAGCTAAACCAGGATAAATACCAGGATAAATACTGAGCTAAACCAGGATAAATACGGAGCTAAACCAGGATAAATACCAGGATAAATACAGAGCTAAACCAGGATAAATACTGAGCTTAACCAGGATAAATACCAGGATAAATACCAGGATAAATACGGAGCTAAACCAGGATAAATACCAGGATAAATACAGAGCTAAACCAGGATAAATACTGAGCTAAACCAGGATAAATACCAGGATAAATACTGAGCTAAACCAGGATAAATACCAGGATAAATACCGAGCTAAACCAGGATAAATACTGAGCTAAACCAGGATAAATACCAGGATAAATACCAGGATAAATACGGAGCTAAACCAGGATAAATACGGAGCTAAACCAGGATAAATACCAGGATAAATACGGAGCTAAACCAGGATAAATACCAGGATAAATACTGGGCTGAACCAGGATAAATACTAAGCTAAACCAGGATCAATACCGAGTTAAACCAGGCTTGATACCGAGCTAAACCAGGATAAATACGGAGCTTAACCAGGATAAATACCGAGTTAAACCAGGCTAGATACCGAGCTAAACCAGGATAAATACGGAGCTAAACCAGGATAAATACGGAGCTAAACCAGGATAAATACGGAGCTAAACCAGGATAAATACTGAGCTAACCAGGGTGTGTGTGTGTGTGTGTCCATTATTTAAATTGTGTGTGTATTATTTTGTGTGTGTTTTATTTATACTGTGTGTGTTGTAGGACCTGCTGCAGCTGCAGTATGAGGGCGTGGCAGTGATGAAGATGTTCGACAAAGCGAAGGTCAACGTCAACCTGCTCATCTTCCTCCTCAACAAGAAGTTCTTCAAGAAATGAACCAAGTAACTTTATATATCACTTTAAACTACAGAGTGAGACATCTTCCCAACACTCCTATCTCTGTTTATATATCACTTTATACTACAGAGTGATTCAGTCAGCGTATGTTGCATTGTTACATATTATTATATTACATTTTATCAAGAGAACATAATCATCATACACTCCTATCTCTCACTACAGTATACAGAGTGAGACATCTTCCTTCCACTCCTATCTCTGATTGTTTGTCTCACTACATTAGCTGTTAATCAGTGCTGATACCTGATCAATACCTGTAAATATTTTCTGTTTTTCTGTCGACATTTGGAGGGAAACTGTTGGATCCTCCAGATGAACTCTCGACATTTTAACTCTAATAAATGTGTCAAAGTCTTTTATTCTGAAACTTTTTCTTTTTGAAGAAGTAACTCTGATTATTGGTTGATTATGGGGGGAGGGGTTCAGAACCACATTGTGATGGACGACTGGTTCAGAGCATCTCCAAACCTGCAGCTCTTGTGGGGGGTTCCCGGTCTGCAGAGGTCAGTACCTATCAAAGTGGTCCAAGGAAGGAACAGAACCAGAGACAGGGTCATGGGTTTGTTTTGGAACCGTGGGCGACCAAACATGAACATTCTGCTTATATCAGTTTAAAACCTAATTGTATGAAACTTGGCCAGGATTTGTTTTTCAAACAACAAGTAAACGAACCTGTACTTGTATAGAACCTTTCTAGTCTTCCGACCACTCAAAGCGCTTTGACCCTCCTGAGACCTGAGCTTTTGTTTGGGGTGCATTTTCAATCTTTTGGCTATTTAGGATTAGTAGTAAAAACAAGCATTGTTTTTGAACAATTTGTAGTTTTCACAAAAACTTTGTCCCCATATGAGGACGCAGGGTTGGAGGTTATGCTACAGCCAGGTTCACCCTTTCACACACATTCACACACCGATGCATCAGGAGCAATTCAGGGTTCAGTATCTTGCTCAAGGATACTTCTTTTTAATAAACTATCATTGCTCCTAAAATAGTAATGCATCATAATCAATGTTATCAATTATTGACCTAGTCAAGGCTGTAATAACCTCATCCTAAATATTCCACTTTGCACCTCATTTTTGAAAATTATTCATATTTTGGGTTTTTCTCATTGAGAAAATCAGGTGCAAAAAAATATTTAAAAAAATTATATTTATGGTTGGGTCTGAAGTTGATGAAAAGATTTGATGCAGGGAAGTGAAAAGAAATATTTATTTATAACATTTGTCTGAGGGACCGTTTTGGGACCTAAGGTTAAAAAGTGAACCAGAAGAAGAAACAAAAAGAAGCAAAATGGTGGAATGTTTTTAAGATGCTGCGATCTGTATGACTAAAACTGGCAACATCCAAAGAGGTCAGAACTCATAGTATAGTATATTATAGTCACTTTACTCACTGGAACAACAGGTTGAAACCGGTGAGGTAACTGATGGAGCAGAGAAACTGTTGCCATGGAAAGCTAAATGCGTTCAGCTCATATGCAGAAAATGTCTTCTAAGTTTATTTATTTGATAGAGTTTATGTGTATAGGGTTGTATAAGGTGAAAACATACTGATTATTCTGACAGATATTACATCTGTAAGATGCTGCTTATTTCCAGCTCATTAAACACTAATGGAAACATACCTGTGATTATTATTTTAATGTTACACACTGGAGCTTTAAATGAAGGTAAAGAACAAGTTCAGTTACTCTGAGAAAGTTATATCCAGACAGTTTGTGGAAGTCTGGAATCTAGATCAATATATGATCCATGTACAGCAACTCACTGTCGTAGTCTCTTATTGATCTGAATATGTCACTAGAATGTAGCTTTATATAGAGAATATAATGTTTAATATCTTATATGAAACCTTTAATAATAAATGAGTAGGAGAGAGTCACTTAAGGATTTATTTCCACCAAACCAGAGTTGGTGATGGTTGGAAATACTAACAGAGACGCTTTCAATCAGTTTAATGACATTTTGGTGCTTTAGTGCGACATCCAGTGGTGATCTGTGAATTTCATAAAGAAAGCATTTAGCACAAACCTTCTTAAAATGTTATAAAACAGTGAAAATGTTTCCTAAATTTATAAAAATAACACATTTGGAGACAGCAGATGATGAAATACTTGATTATCAAATAATAGTTGACAACACAAAATGAAACCATCACAAACTGTTCATTCAGTCGTTCATTTTATAATATAAAATAATTACTTATTACATCAGTTAGCTGCTGGTAACTTCTAACTTTAACTAATGCTAACATAGCCTCGTACCAATTTATCCATGTGATGACTTAGCATCAAGCTAATTTAGCTTTGTGCCAACTTAGCATCGTGCTAATGTCAGTGGTTACTAAGTTCAGTTTTATTGTCACTGTTGTAAAACCGGTTGCAGTTCACAAACATTTCTCCTGATTATTGTTATAAATGTTTACATCCGCTAACTGCCAGCTCTAACTGCTGTGTAACTAACTGACTGTGTTAATGTTAGTGTGCTAATAGCTGACCCGTTCAGAGAGGTCATGTGGAGTACTGTCCACATATCTGACCTGAAACTTTATACTTTGTGTTTGATAACAATTTTAAATCTAATTTCATTCAAATAACCCAACATTATGCTGATAATAATAATAACTGATCAGTTCTATTAATATCTCTCATTAGTTGAAGTTTCACATTGATTTATTTCCGTCGTATATTCTGTCTGATTGAGGAACGTCTTCAGTTGGTTCTCAGTGTTCTTCAGGGGGCGGGGCCATGGTGGAGGGGGCCGGGTCAGACTATGGCGGTGTTGTACTCCAGAGGTTTCACTGTCTGTAAACAAGAATTAAAACAGGTAAGGTTGTTGTCCAGACTCAGTCACAAAACCTCTCACCGAGATAACACACCTCATAGCTGCTCTCTGAAGGGGGCGGGGCTTCGTATGTGTGTGCAGTCTCTGCCCTCTGTGAAGCACCTTCCTGTGATTGGTAAATGATGATTGGCTGCTGAAAAAGAAACAGCAGACAGAGGTTTGAAGCATTGACAGTTTATATAACAGACATGAAACCTGCAACAGCCAGCAGGGGGCAGCTCCACTCTGATAGTATTGAGTCTTATGGAGAAGTTGATTGATGAGCTCCTCCTCACCTACAAAGCTCTTCATGGTCAGGCCCCTTCATATCTTAAAGAGCTCATAGTACCCTATTACCCCTCTAGAACACTACGTTCTCTGAATGCTGGGCTACTTGTGGTTCCTATAGTCTCTAAAAGTAGAACAGGAGCCAGAGCCTTCAGTTACCAAGCTCCTCTCCTGTGGAACCAGCTTCCAGTTGTGGTTCTGGAGGCAGACACCCTCACCACATTCAAGAGTAGGCTTAAGACATTCCTCTTTGATAAAGCTTATAGTTAGGGCTGGATCAGGTGAGTCCTGAACCATCCCTTAGTTATGCTGCTATAGGCCTAGACTATCGGGGGATTTCCCATGGTGCACTGAGCTCCTCTCTTCCTCTCTCTTTCTGCACTCATTCATGTTCCATTAATGCATGTTACTAACTTCACTTCTTCCCCGGAGTTCTTGCGCTTTCTCGTCTTGCAGGTTCTCATGGATCCTGGTGGAGCCTCCTGCCATGGTCCTGCTAGATTGCCATTGCCAATACTGTTGTTGCTGTGCGTCTGTCTGTCTGTCTGTCTGTCTGTCTGTCTGTCTGTCTCTGTCTCTCTCTCTCTCTGTCTTTCTCTCTCTGTCTGTCTCTCTCTCTCTAACCCCAACTGGTCGAGACAGACGACCACCCACCTAGAGCCGGAGGATCTGTCCTAGGTTTCTGCCTTTTAACAGGCAGTTTTTCCTTGCCCTTGTCACCAAGTGCTTGCTCATGGTGGTACTGTTGGGTCTCTGTAAATAATGTCATAAAGAGTTCGGTCTAGACCTGCTCTATTTGAAAAGTGTCCTGAGATAACGTCTGTTATGAATTGGTGCTATACAAATAAAATTTAATTGAAATGAATTGAATTAAACAGTTTCCTGAAGAGTTTCTGGTCTCAGTCTCTAGTTTCAGTCTTCTTCCATACAGCATGATGTTCATTTAGTAACTGATGGTCCCATTTAGAGTAAAACAGACCATAAAGCAGGGTATGCTTTAGGGCGGGGCTACCTTGTGATTGACAGCTCATTCTCAGTGAGTCCGTCCAGCTCAACCAAACTCAGATCAAACTGTCAAACAGTGCTGATCAGATATGGATCCAGATTCTGTTGTTGACTATTTCTCTCCTCAAATCTGTTCACAAACACATTTTACTGTTTATCTGGAATACCAGATCCTGTCTGAGCAGGCGGGCAGCCAATAAGAGCAGCTCAACTCGCTTTACGTGACCTCTGCTGGCTGCTAAACACCAACATGGAGACGACCATGAAGCCCAACTGGAGGTTCAGAGCTCCACAGACCGATGGGGGACCACAGAGTCTCAGCTGGTCTCAATATGAATCACACTGATCTGCTGATGCTCCAGGTGGACTCACCTGATCTGTGGACTGACAGGAAGCTCTGCAGCCAAACACGGTGATGCAGATTGACACTAAAAACTCCAGGACGGAGAAACCGGCCAAAACACCTGAAACTCCCCTGCTGTGAATCTGGAAGGAAAAAGGACAAACGTCAGAACAGACTCAGGATCCTGATTTCACAGAAGGTCTGTTTTAGAATGTTGGGATGTTTCAGACATTTTTAGCAATGAAATTACAGGAGAAAGTGAAAATTACAAAAATATTATTATTTCATTCATGTTTCTTTTTTTTTAAACTTTCTTTTTATTTAAGTTTTCAGTTATTTTTTTCAACAATAAAAAAACAAGCAAACAAAACAGACAGGTTGACATAGGCCATACATTATTGCAAAATGGAGTGATCCTTCACACAGACAATGAGCTACACGTTAAAGAATATGAAGTCCACCTTTCCCAGTACTAGGGTTAGGGTTAGTTTTTCCATGCATTGTATTTCCTTAACAATGGTGATCCAGTCATTCCTTGATGGCAGCCATTTCTGTGTTATGGCCTTCTTGCTTGCAGCCAAGAGCACTTTATAAAGGTAGTTGTCGTGGGCCATAAGTCCAACTGGGATTTTACCCAAATACAGTGTAATAAAAGATAAATCAACTTTTAAACCAAAGATTGACTGAAGTTCTCCAGCATGTTCTTGCCAATATGTGTGAATATGGGGGCAGGCCCAGAATATATGAAAGTGGTCTGCCATTGTCTGTCCACATTGTCTCCAGCATTTATCCTGTCCCTGGAAACCCTGCTGTTTAGATTTCAATTTAGGAATCACAAAAAAAAAAATCTTATGTTCTTCCAACAGAATTCTCGCCAGGCTCTGGAGTTGGTGGTCTTAGCTTGAC